TGGAGAAATGAACTGTTGTATATTCACATAGTAAAACACTACATCAGTGAAAATGAATGAATAAGACCTACATGTGTCAACCTAGATTAACATAATTTGAGTGAAAAAAGTTACAAAGGATGTAATAATAAGATACCATTTGTGTAAATTTTTAAAACAAGAAGTGCATATTGTTATACATACGTATGTTGTAGAAGTACAAAATACATCAGAATAATACACACTAACTTCAAGAAAGAGATTTCCTTGGGGAAGGATGTGAGGTGAGCTTTAGTATATCTAACTTTTTGGATTATATGCATATGGGTATGTGAAAATTTTTAAGTAAGTAAGGCCAAAACGTTAATATCTAATTTGGGTGATGGAAGCTTAGTTGCCTGTTGTGTTGTTTTTCCATCTTTGTATGTTTGAAATGTTTTATAACTAAAAACAATTTATATGTGAAATTATCAAACCAGACTATAACTGTAACAGTTGACTGTTGCTCCTGAAATAACTTGCATGGCTTGATAAAGCAGAAAGAGATTCTGTGCATCATCAACATCTGTATCCAAACCATAATTAGAAACCTTTTCCAAAGCTCATCTTCTGATGGTTCTTTATGCATATCATGGACCAGAAACAAAATTAATACGGGTAAGATGCTCTGATTTGATTCCATTTTTTTTTTCCTCTATCGACCTATGTAACTTTGTTCTGGATTATCATCCATGCTTCAGAGAAAGCTTTCAAAGTCTTGAGGATTTTTTTTCTATCATGTAATTTCGATGAATGGTAAGCAGAAAGTTTTGCCCCAAATGCATATTAATGACACATTTTTTAAAATAAAAGACATCTCAGCAATCACCATGTGCTTGGGCAGAATGAAACAAAAACGGAACAAAAATGAAAAGCATTAGCAGAGACAATGTCTATGGAATGGAAGTCTAGCCACTTGCATCCCCACATATGTAAAATACAATTGCTAATTACATCACAATGCAATGAAGATTAACTGATGATAATGCATGTGAAGCATCCAGCACAGTAAAGGGCACATAAATAAATAATTTTATTTTGCTTCCTATTCCCTGCCTGTGAACCTGAAGGAAAAATAAGAGGCAAAATAGAAGTTTAGGACAAATCTAGTACCTCCTTTCTAGTTCTGTGCTCATTGTTACCACCGCCCAACCAGCTCTCTGAGTCTGGAAACTCAGACTGAGGCACTATGGCAGCCACTCAACTGGGCCATATAGACATGACAAAAGCCATGACCAACATGTGAGAGTGTGCCATAGTTTCTCTGTCATCCGAGTTGACATAATTCAGAGTTTCATATTCTGAGTTTCAAATGCTTTCTTCCAATCAAAAATACCTGTACAAGCTTCTTTGCAAGTTAATGGTGTTTGTTGATTCCTGACATAAAAGGCTCTCCAATAAATGTCATATCTCTTGTGAATAGTTTTCCTGCTTTGTACTTCTGCTTCTATTTTTGTTTATAGTTTTTGACAAAGAATCTAAATTTTTAAGTCAAATCTATGCATTTTTCCCTATAGTTATTTCTATTGTTTTATCAACAGAAAGTTCTTTCCCATCCATAGATGAGTTAGTCACTTACGTATTTTTTAATCTCTTTTTTTTTTTTTTTTTGAGACAGAGACTCACTCCATCACCCTGGATAGAGTACAGTGGCATCATCATAGCTCACTGCAACCTCAAACTCTGGGCTCAAGCTATCCTCCTGAGTAGCTGGGATAATAGAAGCATGCCAGGACGCCTGGCTAATTTTTCTATTTTTATTAGAGACAGGGTCTCGCTCTTGCTCAGGCTGGTCTCGAACGCCTGACCTCAAGCGATCCTCCTGCCTCAGCCTCCTGGAGTGCTAGGATTACAGGCGTTAGCCACCGCGTCCTGCCCATATTCTTGAATCTTTTATGGTCTCATTATTTACATTTAACTCTTTAACCCGCTTATAATTTTTTTGGTGTGATACATGGTGAGGCTGTAAATTGGCTTTTTATTTTAAATAGGCACAGCACTACTTATTAATCCATCCCTTCCTTCCTGATCTTTTTTGTGATTTTTTTTTTTTTTTTTTTGCTTGCAGTGATTCTCTCTGAGGGAGGAGAATCTATCAGAATCACCTAGGAAGCTTTTCAGAAATACACTTAACCCCACCTTTGCAAGATGTTAGCATACCTTGACTAACAGAATCTTAGATCACCCTCTGATGTGTTCCTGCCCTCATCCTTTTGGGAGCCATTACTATGTCATATACATATTTTTTTTACTTTTCTCATATATCATCCAGGGTCTGTTTAGAGATGTATATTGTGTTCCACTAATAAGTTTATACTCGCATCTGCTCCCCAGTATTTTCCTTATTGTAGAATAAGAATATATTTTAATATCTGATAAAGTAAGTTTCTATTATATTTTGAAAGCCTAAAATATAATTAGCCTATTAACATGTTTTTGTAGCATCCAGGTTGCCTGTTAAGAGAACTCTATTTCATGTTGCTTTTCTCTTGTGCCTAACTTTCAGTAAGGTTTTGGTTTAAATAGTTGTAATTTTGTTAATTCTACTTTTACTTTAGCAGAACTAAAGAAACCATTTTTTTAAAGTTGAAAATAAAACCTTCTGTACTAGAAAGAGACAATTCTTTTTCTACTGATCTGATCTTAGAAATTCAACCACCAGCAAACCTGCCTCTGCAGAATACTTTCCAAAACTAACAGCAATACTCAACATTGAGAGGTCTCACTCTGATAGCCGGGCAATTCATTTTGCCCTCGTTTGATTTTGCGTAAGTGAGATGTTATCTAGAAACTTGTTCTGAAGGTCTTTTGCAAGATGGGGATACATATATATACTTCTGAATTTCCCTTTTCTTAATGCCTCTAGAACTAAACCTCAGATTAGGGAAGGTAGGAACAGTGTTTCCTGTTTGCAAACACTAATGCTCAGTGAGAAATAAAAGAGTATATGTATTAATAATAAGTAACCTTAAATTTGATAAGTCAGTAGCATATTTTTTATAAAAATTTAGAAACATACTGAGGGATTCAGGTAAGGCATGCTGTCAGTGAAACTTCTATCAATAAACAATCTGTTATGAGATTATAGACAGATTGGCTTCTATAAAAGTTTATTTTACTGCAGATAATACTATATCAAGAATTAATTCAGAATTAATTACTTTTTATATTTTTTTTAAGAATGTCACTGTGCAGGGCTTCTTAGGGCTCATTTCATTTAATATAAATAATAAGACAGCTTCTAGAACTATGATTATATTTATATTTATTTTAATGTTCCTTAAAACTAATAATTGTATGTTTACAACACAGTCATGTAGGGATATAAAATGTTTACCAGTAATGTAAAATAAATTTTTAATTTTGAGGACATGAGGGAAATCAAAGTTTTCATGATTTAAAATCATACAAGCAGAAATGCTGAATTTCCTTTAGATGGTATTTGTTAACATTTGTCAGGGCAAAGCAAGTAATATAATTTTACTACTTTTTTCTGAACCTCTAATTTTCTGCAAATTTCAATTTTTATCCTCAAATGATACTTGTTTTTTAAATATATTTTGCTTTGACCTATTCTTTATTCAACCAATTGCATGCACTTACTGAAATATAGTTTACTGATCACTAACTGTGTATAAGCCAAATCTCATTAAAATAAATTCACCTATAATAAAAATCTTCATGCTGTTTAACATTGATTTCCCAGCCAGTGGCCTATCTTAAGTTTTAACAAATATTCTGACTATAAAAAATTCTCCTACTCTGTGATAGAGACTTATGAATGGATCCTTGGAGTTTGTCATAACAGGCATTTACATATTCAGTCAACAGCATTCTGGTTCTGTGCATGACCAAAGAATTGGACAAATGCTGGCCAAACTTTCGGAAATGTTTGCCTAATGATACCCCCCAGGTTGCAACTGTATGATGTTCTATACAGCTATATCCAGATAGATTGGCTAGGAAAAAAAGCTAACTGCATGTGATTTTTTTTCTTTTAAGCACCCTTTCCTTCCCTTCCTCCCTGTCCCATTCTTCCATCCATCCTTTCATTCATTCATTCAATTATTCAACAAATATATATTGATCCCCTATAAGCCAAGCAATGTACTAAGCTCCAGGGAGTTGATAAACAAGACAAAGATCCCTTTCTCTTAGAGTTTTCTGTCCAATTATTTTTGAACATACATGAAAATTACAGAGTTTGCTCCTCTTAATTCTAATCTACATGTTTTCTTTATTGTTACAAAATATTTCAAAGGCCCAGAAATTTACCAAAAATAATATAACAACCATGTACCTACCACCCAAATTTAATAGACATTAACATTATGCCATGTTTGCTTCAAATCTCTCCAGATGTAACCATTAACTTTGAGTTTTTATGTATATTACCATGCATGTTTTGCATTTTTATTGTATATGTATAGCTCCATGAAGAATCTGGTATTGCTTTATGTGTTTTTATTTTACATAAGTGATTTCCTGTGATACATACCCTTTTGCAATTTTGTGTGTGTCTTTTTTTACTCAACATTATATTTGAGATATCCCCGTGTTGATGCATGTGGGTGTAGTTCATTTCATTGAAGTTCTGTATGGTACTCCATTTTGTGAATAAACCGCATTTTACTTCTCCATGCCTTAGCTGATACATACTTCATTATTTCTAATTGTTTAGTATTATGAACAGTAGTTCACTGAGCATCATAATATATGTTTTCTTATGTATATATTTGAGTGATTCTAGAAGATACATACCTTATAATAGACTTGCTGGGTCATAGGATATGCACATCTTCAATTTAATTTACCAAAGTGTAGCTGTGGTGGCTGAATTGTTTATAAATCTGTTAAGTAAGGTACAGTTTTAAATCCTGTTGCCAGGCTATTGAATTATTAGCTTATCTGTTGTTTGATTTTTACTGTACAGTATTTAAATTCCTTCCATTTTTATTTAAGCAGTGATAGATAGTGGGTGATCTCATTTTTTATTAGAATTTTATTAATTATCATTTCATCTTTTATAGAGGTTTAGGCATAAATGAACACAGTAGCAAATTATACAAGCTTTTAAAATGATAAATGAACATTAATTTTCTGACATTTTAAGTCAGTCCTCAAATCAGTTACTTTTAAACACACTTTAGATTAGTATCAAGTGCTTGATTTTAATAACTACTTTAGTGACTTGAGAAACTATGGCACTTCCTTTAATTATTTTGTTGTTAAAGACATGAATTTCACTTAACTTTATGATCCATGTTAAGAGTGTTAGCTTAACAAAGTATTTTTAAAAGATTTTATATACAAATTTAAAATGTAATGATGAATATAAGCTTTTTTTGCCTTGAAATAGTTTACAGTTAAGCAAATGAAACACCACAAATACGAACAGAGCTTTGAGAAGATCCGAGTTTTGTAAATGCTAGAGCTTTGTTTCATAATTTAGTTCCTCAAAGAATTAAGGCTGTATATATCATCCTTATAATATGTTTACCTCAAGTACTTTTAGAACTAGACTGCACTTTTACTGCCACAGATGTATCATGCAAGGAGTATCCTGGTTTAAATTCTGAAGTACTTTCACTCCTGCTTGCTTCACCTTGAAAGTGTCTGAAAAGAAGTTGGCACATTATTTTGCGAATGTTACTGGACATCAGGAAATACATGACTGGATCTAAGCAGCTATTGAAAGATGAGAGAACTAGCATGATCTCATTGGTTTTGTGAACTATTTCCTTCCAGTAGCAAGATGGTTCATTTAGTTGTAAAGAAATGTAGATGAATCGAAAGGCATGATAGGGAACAAAACATACAGTGAAAATGATAAGTACAATAAAGGAATTGCGGGCTGTAGTGGCATATTTACCAGAATTAGGAAATTTTGACCTCCTTTTAGAAATCCTCAATAGATTCTTACCAATCTTAATATATGAAAGGATTATTAGTAGAAAAATTAGCCAAAACATTACTACAAGAACGAAGTTAAAAATTGCTTCTCCTTTTTCATCATGCTTATCTCTATAATGGAAACACATTGTGGAATTATGTCCCCCTTTCTTAAGTGTTAAAATAATCATAGTTAAAAATCCAGCAAGAGCAAGTGCCCATACTATACAGCAAACATAAATACTTTGTTTGGTTGTTATTGCCTTCCGTTGTTGTATAGACCTATTAATTTTTATGTAGCGATCCAAACTGATGAATCCAAGCAAAATAATGCTAATGTACATGTTCATATAAAACAGCAGTCCCACAACCTTGCACAGAATCACACCTAGTGTCCACTTGTTTTGGTTAATGTGATACATTATTCGGAAAGGGAGGCAGAAGATGAGTAGGAGGTCCGCAATGGCTACATTAAGTAGGTAAATTTGAATGGAATTTCTTTTGCGGTGGATACCCAGAAATACATAGAGGGCAATTATGTTCCCAACCAGTCCCATGATGAAAATAATAGAGTAGAATGTTGTTAACACAGTAGATAGTAATGTTTCATCCATGGGACAGGCAGTAACATTTGGTGCTCCTGAGAAGTTTTGTGGTGATTGGTCGCTGTGATTAGTTATAAAGTGTGTTCCATGGGAAGAGCAAGGCCAGCTGCCAACTGAAGTCATCGTCATTGTTCCAGTGTGACTTCTCATTGTCTTCTGTGGAGATCAAAAAGTGAAGATGCTAAATAACATGTTCCTTCTGTGTAGTTCTTATGTCTTCAGATTTTTCCTACAACAGAATGCCGAACATTGAGTCATTTGCTTTTTTGTTTTTGCTTTTCTTTGAGACAGAGTCTCACTCCGTTGCCCAGGCTAGAGTGCAGTGGTATCATCATAGCTCACTGCAACCTCAAACTCCTGGGCCGAAGCGATCCCCCCACCTCAGCCTCCCAAGTAGCAGGGACTACAAGTGTAAACCACCACACCTGGCTAATTTTTTTTTCCATTTTGAGTAGAGACAGGGTCTCACTCTTGCTGAGGCTGGTCTCTTAACTCCCAGCCTCAAGTGATCCTCCCACTTCAGCCTCCCAGAGTGCTAGGATCACAGGCATGAGCCACCGTGCCCAGCCCTCTTTGCTATTTTAATAAGTTACTTTAACTCAAAGTGTAAATAATAAATTAATTACTTTCAGACATTGTGAGAAACTTTACTTTTATCCTACTTTGGACCATCTGGACAGCTACACCATGTATGTAATAACATTACTGTATCACAATAAAAGCAGAAATATAGTAAGATCTCATGGAGTATCCTGCTCTAGCCTTTCCTATGGCCATGGCATACATTCAAGGTTTGTTTCATATATTTTATTAAAATAAATAGCTAACTATGAGGTCATCTTTTCTTAGGGTGTTATGGGGATAGAGATGGAGGTGAAGAGAAATGACAGCTCATGTTTTTCAAAGATGAGCATCAATTTTTTTAAAGTGAGCTGGGCCTACTGCTGGCCCTGCCCAGCTTCAGAACTGCTCCCTGCCTCTAGCCTTTCCCTCACATGTGCCATTCATTCATTTGACACAACATGTATTGCTTCATGGTGTGTGACAGCTAAACTGTGGCAGTCTCTCATACTTTGGTGGGATAGGGGAGAGTCTCCTAAATTTCTTTCTTTTCAACCTAAGACCAAGGTAGGGTTATTAAAATGATTTGCCTACAGGAGCATACAACTAACATAACAGACCAAGAGAGCACAGCACCTGCCTGGTTACACAGACTCTTGTAACACTGCACAGGAGAACAAAGTAGCCAAACAAAGCCAAATCAGGTGGCAGATGCCAGTTAGCCACTCCTGACCTAGAAGCATAGAGTGTCAATGTAGCTGGGAAACAGGATGTGCAATCCAAGATTTTGAAAGTAACCTGATGAAGCCTAAATATGCCCTGGCTTAGGTGGTTTGAGACTGTTGCTAGAACCTTCTAAGAGAGTATGTGAATTCTATTTGCAGTTCAGAAAGCTACTTGCTTTTGGCCTTTTCCTGGGCATTGATTGCTGTGAAGAGTGAGAGCCAGTCATAAAGAGCTAGAAGACATACGGAGAGGGTTCCTGGAGGTCTTACCACACGCCTTTCTTAAAGTGACTGCCCTATTTCTCTGTAGCAGCCACTTAGCAGGCATAATATAAAGACGTCCAGAGCAAGGTTTTTAAAATCAGACCTAGCTAACTCTATGACCAAGGGCAAATAACTTAATCTTTTCTAAGCCTCTATGTTCTCATTTGTAAAAATGAAAAAAGTGTACATGAAGAACTTAATCCTCTTTTCCTGCTGCGACGATGGGTCCGGTCATCATCTGTGGTGTATGTATCATGCTCTGTAAACCTATATCTTGGTCTTGCCCTATAATCCCATCTTTCTCCCTTCAATAAACCTCCTGTCTGGTCATTCTTCAGCCATGAGCATGCCAAGAACTGACATTTCAGACTGACACCTGACATTTCCAGTGCCTAGACTAGCGCCTGGCGCATTATAAACACTCAGAACAAATTTTGTTGAATGAATCTTCATATTTATACATAATGCTAAGTAATACTATAGGCTGGTAGTTCTTTGGGATGCTCAGACTATGTTGGTTTTCCAAATAGAACATTAGTTTTTCTCAGACTTCTGAGAGTTTGTGGTCTTCTAGGTATTTAACCATAAATAGCTATAATCATCTTACATTGCTAAGCAAAGTTATGCATTTGGGGTTTATATAAGGGTGGCCTTGCTGAAATAACAGGAAAATATCTAATCCCATAATTTTTTTTTTTTTTTGAGACAGAGTCTCACTTTGTTGCCCTGGCTAGAGTGAGTGCCATGGCGTCAGCCTAGCTCACAGCAACCTCAAACTCCTGGGCTCAAGCGATCCTTCTGCCTCAGCCTCCCAAGTAGCTGGGACTACAGGCGTGCGCCACCATGCCCGGCTAATTTTTTCTATATATTTTTAGCTGTCCAATTAGTTTCTTTCTATTTTTGGTAGAGACGGGGGTCTCGCTCTTGCTCAGGCTGGTCTCGAACTCCTGAGCTCAAACGATCTGCCCACCTCGGCCTCCCAGAGTGCTAGGATTACAGGCGTGAGCCACCGCGCCCGGCCTAATCCCATAATTTTTTAATAACAGCTAAAGATCAATCCTTTGAGCGCTCCTACTTTCTGCTCTGTCTCTGCTGGCAGGCACGTTGCAGGGTTCCCTTCTCCCATCTAAAAGGAGCCCAACAGACACAAAAAGAGATGTAAATCTTTCTCTTTACATTTGTCAGAAACTGCTTTTAGAATTTGTTTTATAGCCTCAAGGTGTTCCTGAGAAGCTCCTGGACAGACAGCAGGAGGGCAAACTCCAGGCCTTAGTGTTCTGCCCAGAACCGTATATCAGGGGCAAATTCACATCCCCTGCGATAAGCCTGACCACATCTTAGAGATAACCAAGTCTCCAGGAACAAAGAAAACAAGAAAGAAGGACAATTTGACCTCTAGCAGCTGCCTGCTAATTACTCCACAACGATTACTATTTTTTTTTTCTCTTTTTCTTTGTCCCCATAAAATCAGCCAGTCCCTTGGCTTCCTGCTGGCATCTCCCTTCTCTTTCTTTGGGATGCCAAGCCATCTATCTACCTGGTCTCTCCACCCCCCATTCTCTTTGTCCTTCTAAAGGATAAAATAAACTTTTTTACTTTTATGGAAAAAAAAAAGAACTTAATCCTGGCACTTGTTATCAAGTGCTCAATAAAAGTTATCTTTAATGAACTGTCTTTGATTAATCTCATTTTGGTAAATATTTCACACTTGGCTAAATACTGTGTGGAAAATGAAGGTAAGACAGAGACCCTCTTCTTGGTAAACATTTTTGTAGGAGTGTGCATTAAAACCCTAAATACTGTAATATAAAGTGGATTTGAATTACAATAATTAATTTCCTGATTTGATGTTATACACAGAAAAAAATATTTGCAAGAATGTATCCTTTCTTAAAACTCTTACCTACAGTTTGATCAAGAAGAAACCACTTTGGTAGAGGAAACATTCGGGTTTAAAATTTTGTGAAGTGGGGGGAATTGATTCCAAGGAAGAGGAACTGGCTGGTGAAGAGGAAGTTATGTAATCCCTGGTAAGAGCCTGTCTCCAGAGTTCAGGAAAGTGGAGAGAGAAAAGGAGGGAGGGAGGGAGGAAGCACTAGGTCTAGTCTGTCATGTGTATCAACTGCAGGAAGGCAGATTTCACAAAGTTTATAGGAACTTGCAGGCCTGTTTCTTGTGATCTTAGATTCTAAAAGGAAAGGGCAACCTAGAAAGAGTGGCGGGCTGCCAAAAATGAAACTGACAATGCAGTCTACATCACCAGGAAGAGGAAAAGGGCATCTGTAGAGGGACCTGTGTTATGTGGTTACCTAGGGAGCTCTCAGAGGCTCAGGCAGAAACATATATCCACTGGTGAAAGGAAATTGAAGCACAAGAAGTGATGTGATTTGAGAGCTCAGGTAGCTGAAATAACTTGAAAAACCCATCTGTAAACAGTTATTTGGGGTTTTCTTTTTTTCTTCTCCTGTGCTAAATTTTAAACTCCATTAGGATTAAGAGCCAAGTCAGTTTTGTTTGGCTCTGTGTACCAAGTGCTTAGCACAATGAATATTATTGAATGAAAGAGGGAATTTTATAGAAATATATGTAAAGTTGTACATGTAGATATAAAAATCAACTTCAAGTACAGGAAGGCTGCAGCTGCAATTAACAGAAACACAATTGCAATTGCTCTATCAGGAGTGTGACATGTCTGCAACAAAAACTAACCCCATCTTTCAATGAATTCCTAGATATGGAGTATTGGAAATGAAAATTGTTACTACTAAGCTGCTTGTGTCCCAGGCTGGCAGGGTCTCACCTGAAATGCAGTTTTTCATCCTCAGCAGCACTTAGAAAAGGCCACAGACCAAATGGGAAGAAGGGAAGCTCAAATCATGTCATAAAAGCAAGTTTGAAGGAAGTAAGCACCTTACCCTGGAGATGGGAACACTTTACAAGGCCGTGGAGAAAAGGGTTTCACCTTGTTGTATGTGTCTTCAGAAAGCAGAACAAGGACCAGTGATAGAAATTACAGGACAGATGTTGCCTCCTTTTAAGGAAATGATTTTTTAGAATAAAATACTCTGTCTGGGAGGCAAAAAGGGTCTTACTACTGGAGATTTTCAAGACTGCCACCAATTGGGTACTTTGTAGAAGGGATTCTCAGCGTAAGTACAGTTTTTTAAAGAATTATTTGGATCGACATTTCTAAGGTATTATTTACACATAATAAATTATACCAATTGCTGTATAGTTCAATAGTTCAATACATTTTGGCAAATAAATAGACACATATTAACAATTATGATAAAAAGTGGAACATTTCTGTCATCTTAAAAAAAAAAAAAAAAGGATCCCCTTGAGGGCTTTTGAAAGATACCAGTGCCTGGTTCCTTCCCAGATATTCTGATTTAATTGGTCTGAAATGGGCTTCAGCCACTGATTTTCTCTAAAAGTTCCTCAGGGGATTCTAATGTGCGGTCACAATTGAACCCTTGAGCTAGATGGCCAAACCATTAACTAATATTTATTTAGGACTTGCTGTGTACCAGACACTGTGTTAAGTATATTTATGTTATTTCATTTACATAATCCTTATAATACCATATGAGGTAAGTATTACAAAAGAGGTAATGGAAGATCAGGAGGTTATGATCTTTATTCTTGGCCACATAGCTCTTAAATGGCAGTGCCCAAGTTGGGACTCAGACCTGACTTTTAGAACCCATGATCCTTTTCACCACCCCTCTCTTGTTATCACATATGATCAGCATTTTCTTTATTAATACTTAGTTCTGTCGATGTATTAGTTCATGTCAAGTATTTTGACGTAATTCCTTTAACATTATCCACCTTAGCAATTTTAAGAAGAGATTATGGGGGCCGGGCGCAGTGGCTCACACCTGTAATCCTAGCACTCTGGGAGGCCGAGGTGGGTGGATCACTCAAGGTCAGGAGTTCGAGACCAGCCTGAGCAAGAGCAAGACCCCATCTCTACTAAAAAAAAAAAAAAGAAAGAAAGAAATGATCTGGACAACTAAAAATATATATATAGAAAAAATTAGCCGGGCAATGGTGGTGCATGCCTGTAGTCCCAGGTACTTGGGAGGCTGAGGCAGGAGGCTCGCTTGAGCCCAGGAGTTTGAGGTTGCTGTGAGCTAGGCTGACACCACGGCACTCTAGCCTGGGCAACAGAGTGAGACTCTGTCTCAAAAGAAAAAAAAAAAAAAGAGATTATGGCATCTAGCTTTACTTCTTTTGCAAAGATATTAATCTTTCTATTTGCTATCTCCATCATAGTAAATAAATAAATCCAAAGTTTACAGAATCACGAATCATTTGTCAGAATGCTCAGCACTTCCCCCTGAACATATCTTCTCAGACTTACTTCTAGGCCCAATGGCCATAATCAAGATGTTTCTAGAAAGCGGTTAGTGCAAAGGACATACCCTGAAACCATTTGCCTCAGCTCTAATCTACAAGTAAACTAAATAAGTAATAGTTGGACAAGTTTGCCAGTTAACCTTTCTGGTTTTGCTTTAGTCTCAAGCTTAAAGAAAATAAGGCCAAAGCAATGCATTTGTTTAAAAAATAATCATAGCCATTGTTTAGAACCATGTCTTAGACGGCTAGCATCCGATTATTTATTAACACATTAACAGATTCTGCTGATTTTTGTCTCCTTTAAAGTCAGTTGGCACATTACATTGTCGTTCACTATTCTTTATTGACATTTTAAAAATGACTTGTTTAATACGCTAAGAATTGCCAGCGAAGACAAGAAATAAGCTACTATGTTCACACAGTGGACTCATTTCCCAGTGGACATTACCTGTGACCTGTGTGCTGTATTGAAGTGGTCACAATAGTTTTCTTTTTTTTTTTTTTTTCCCAAGACAGAGTCTCACTGTGTTGCCCGGGCTAGAGTGCCATGGCGTCAGCCTAGCTCACAGCAACTTCAAACTCCTGGGCTCAAGCGAGCCTCCTGCCTCAGCCTCCCGGGTAGCTGGGACTATGGGCATGCACCACCGTGCCCGGCTAATTTTTTCTATATATATTTTTTTAGTTATCCAGATCATTTCTTTCTATTTTTTAGTAGAGACGGGGTCTCGCTCTTGCTCAGGCTGGTCTCGAACTCCTGACCTTAAGCGATCCACCCGCCTCCGCCTCCCAGAGTGTTAGGATTACAGGCATGAGCCACGGCACTGGGCCCACAATAGTTTTCTAATAGTAGACAGTAAGTGTTTTTTAAATGTTGTTACTTGGCAAATCCCGTTTGCAAGTTCACAACCCATTGTTATGTCCCCGACCCTACCACCTTACCCCTGCCAGTTTTTCTCAACTGGCTCATATAGGAGCTGCTGTACCTGGAGGACAGAACCCAACAGATCCCACTGTGTCCCCAAATGAGCAGAAGCTTTTTAAATACAGTTCGTGTATGTTTGTGAAAACATCACATTGCTATGTTGAAATACATACCTATTTGGTAATGGTAGCAACCTTTCAACGTTTTTAGTTTGACTTGATAATGACTGAATCTATTCAGGCCATGCTTCAAAAATTGCATTAATTGCTGCATACAAAATGAAAATTGAAAGCATATTACTTTGGAAATAATATTGTTAGTAGTATGTTAGATTTTGTTTTAAACTTAACTATGTCAAAAAAACCCACATTTTTAAAAATTGTAGTTATTCAGACTAAAGTATATTTTGCTTTCTCTTTTCTCTAATATTCGCCTTATTTACTTCTGAAACACCAAACTTAAAATTTATATGGTCTGGTAATTACTATAAAATAGTAATAATTTAATAAAGAAAACATAGTAATTGAAAATAAGAAAACAATAAAATCAGTAAGTTATAGATAATTTATAATTCATTAGAAATAAGGTGTATTACATATGAAAAAACTTTTAATTGATTCGGGTAGATCTGAAAATCTTTAGGCAGTACACAAATGCAGTATAAACAATGTGACTATATTGACAGTACCAGCTTAAATACCTTGAATGTCCTAAAGTATTTAAAGTAAAAAGACACAGCCCCATTTGAAACCAAGGCAGGTGTCATTCAAACAGTTTACTCAGTGGTTCTAAAAGCAAAGGATTGCTGGTATTAGAGCAGCCTTATCACCATGAATCAGGTTTCACTTTGAATGTTCAGATAATCACATTTTAGCTGAAGAAAAGCTCGTTTATGTAGTTGAAATCAAGGAATACTCACAGTTCAGCCTCGCCTGAAGTAAAAGGAACCTCAAGCTTCCCTAGACACTGAGACTTGTCTTGGTTGTGTCAGCTGGGCTTTTCCATCCGGTAGTGATGCAATTGGTTGGGGTTCTCTTCTTTTTTATATTCGCATGTGGTGGTAGGGTTCCCCCCCCAACGCCCGGCCGGCCTTTTCTTTTTCTTTTTTCAGTATAGCAACCCTCAGATTCTTTTCAAGAATATTAAAAGGCCCTGCCACCATGCAACAAATTTTAAGCTCAATCACTTAACTTTAGGAAATTATTTATATTTTCTTTGTGAATACCTTTCAACTTGACAATTGTGGAAAGTTTTCCTCACCCCTCAAAATAGAAAAGTTTTATAAATTCTAAGCAGAAATATCCTTTTTCTGTTTTTCCTAAGCAATGATATATAATGTGCTATATGGACTTTCAAAGCAAAGCATTGAATTTGTTTCTTTTTTAATTAGTTTTAGAAATTAAGTTATTTAGATAAAATGGCATTCCTGTATTAAATTATACTAACATTAGTAATGAATTATTTTACTGTTGAATATTTTAAGTTTTATTTGATTTGTATATTATTTTAGTATATTTTCATGTATTCCTTTAAGACCTTGGATTTATTTTCTAAAATAATCTTATAATTTTAGGACTAGATGAGATTTGTGATTGTATTCTCCCCTTTTTATCACTATGATAAACTCTCCCAAGTAAATTAAAACGTCTCCTATATTTTAAAGAAAATAAGGATGGAATTCTGTAGTTTTTGTTTTGGTACTAGTCCAATATTTAACCACTATCTGTCCATCTAGGTAACTGCTGGCCCCGCATTTTAGTGTCATTTCCCTTTTTTTGTTAGCATGTGAAATGAAGAAGAGTTAGCTTTATCCTCCCCGTAATTGTTATCTTGTAGCTTTATTTACACTAAATAATATTTGACTCATTGGGCTTTATCTAACATTCTAATTATTTCTAAGTACACTCTTCTGAATATCATATTCTCCAGAACTTTTAGTTTGTTATAAATAATGATACAGGGGGCAGGATATTTTGTAATTGCTAGAATAAAAATACTTTGTAGCTCTTACTTCCCCTTAGAACCTAGGAGAAGGAAGGTGCTTGCTGTATTGGTCTGGTAGGATTTTTTTTTAATTGTGGTAAAATAATATAACATTAAATTTACCATCTTAACCATTTTTAAGTGTATAGTTCAGTAGTGTTAAGTATATGGACATTGTTGTGCAATAGATCTCTAGGTATTTTTCATCTTACAAAACTGAAACTCTATACCAATAAACACTATTTCCCCCATCCACCTACCCTTGGCAACTATAATTCTACTTTCTGTTTCTATGATTTTAACTACTCTGGATACTTCATTTGAGTGAAATCATATAGTATGTCCTTTTGTGCCAGGCTTATTCTAAACTTTGTACTATGTCTCTGTGTTCTTAGCTCTTTCCTGTATATCCTCTTCCCTTCACACTTCCTCTTTCTTTTTTGTTGGTATCGTAAGGTTTTTCTTCATATAAAGATAGAAGTAGAAAAGAAGAAATAAATGTATATGCTTGTTTGGTGCCATCTATTACTGGTATCACCATCCTCTCTTTATCTAAATCCCAACCCTGGTTAAATTCACCTCACCACCTACTCCAGGCCTGAACCCTGCCATCTAAAATGAAGACTGCTGAATACAAACACACAGTGATTGGTCTCACTTCAAATTCTTAAGCACAAATCTCAAGTAGGCCCCTGGGCTGCCAGCAATCCTGGTATATTTCCTTAGTCCAGTGGTTCTCAAAATGTGGCTCCCAGACCAGTAGCATCAACATCACTCGGAAGCTTGTTAGAAATGCATGTTCCTAACCTCCTTCAAGACCTATGAGCCAGAAATTCTGGGGATAGGGCCCAGCAATCTGTGTGATTCTGATGTGAAAGTTTGAGAACCACTGCCTTAGTCAGTTCATTCTCCTGTTCTTTGAAAATACTTTTTCACATCTGAACTCTTCTCAGACTGCCAGCAACCCCCTTTCCTTCCCTACTTCCACCTGATGATCACTTTTTATTTCACTGAGAAAGTAGAAGCACCCAGAAGAGAACTTCCTCATCTTTCTGTGTCCACATCTGCTTGCATCTGCAGGTGCCTCTGTACCCTGTCTTTTCTGCTGTCATTAGGGCTAACACCCCCACTCCTTGTACATTACATCCCACCCCCTCTCTTTCCTTGGGTTGTTTCCCTCTCTACAGGATCATTCCCATCAGGATACAAATGTTTCTCTGTAAAAAACAAAACAAGAACTAAACCTCCATGAAAATCTCTAGGTACTGATATGGGATCTTCTATAGCATATATTGTTTTGTGAAAAATGTGAATATTTATATGTATTTTTATCTTTAAAAAATAGAAGGATGAACCAAAAACTAATAAAAAGTTACCAACGGAGAGGGAAAGATTGGGGGTGGAGGAAGAGGACAAAAGCTAGACCTTTCTGAATGTATTTGTTTTACAGTTTTCACTTTGCAACAATGTACATGTTTTATGTAATTAAAACACCAAATTAAGTTAAAATCTAATTAAAACAAGTGAACCTGACTGTATTACAAAGCAAAAGCATAACCACAAGAATTATTTTAAGTGACTTTAAAATAGGGTGAATTTTTTTAACGTAATTTTAGACTTAGAAAAAGGTTATAAGAGTAGTATAAAAAATTCCAGATACCTTTCACTTAGATTCCCCTGATGGGAAAACATTAGTAATGAATTATTTTACTCTTTAAGCTTTATTTGATCTGTATATTATTTTAGTATATTTTCATGTATTCCTTTAAGAACTTGGATTTGTTTTCTAAAACAATCTTATAATTTTAAGACTAGATAAGATTCATGATGATATTCTCCCCACTGTTTTTTTTTTTTCCTATAACAATGGCATCTTCAATGGTGCAATCCTTCTAGACTTTCATGATGTTCTCATAGGGTTCTGGGTGGCCAGGGCATTGTCCAACATCCAACAAACTTTAAAAAACAGTCCTTTACTGGCAAGGTACTTCCTGAATTCAGGGGCAAAGCATAGATAAGACCAATTCAGAAAAAGTGTTCTCATTGTCCAGGCCTTCTTGTTGTAGTACAACCATAGCACTGGCAGTTGGTTTTTATCTTTTCCCTTCAAGGTTCAGGAGTTAGGAGCTTTATGGATAAGGGTAGTCCTAATCATAAACCTGACTGCATTTGCACAAAATAGTAGTTAGTCTGTCCCTTCCTGCATTAAATCATGCTTGCTTCTCTTCCTTATTAAAAAATGTCCTTTGTGACATCTTTTTCCAGAATAGGGCACTTTTGTCCGTATTAACAACCTGTTCAGGCAGATATCCTTTCTCCTCAATGATTTTCTTAGTGGCATCTGGGAACTCGTCTGCTGCCTCGTGGTCGGCAGAAACTGGTTCTCCTGTTATCTTGACATTTTTTAAGCCAAACCTCTTTCTATAATTATCAAACCATCCTTTGCTGGCATTACATTCTCCAGCTTTAAATTCTTCACCTTCCTTTTGCTTTAAGTTGTTATATAATGGCTTCACTTTTTCTCGAATCATGTTAGAGTCTATAGGCATATACCTTTCTTATAGCAATCCTGCATGCACATAAAAGCTGCGTTTTTAATATGAGATAAAAAGGCATTTCGCAAAAAGTGCAAAGTTTTAGCACCAGCTGATGCAGCTGCAGCGACAGCTTCATGAATTTCCTTTGTTTTTTTACAATGATCCTTACACTGGATTCATTTATCTTGAAATGGTGTGCAGCTGCAGACCTCAATCTACAGTACATATCAAGCAATTCAACTTTTTCTTATAATGTCATGACTTTTCTCTGCTTCTTGGGAGTACTTCTAGCATCACTAGTGGCACTTTGTATGAGTCCTATGGTGTTATTCAAGATTTTTGGTATCATACTAAACATGATGAAAAATACACGAGAACTCTGAGATCACTTTTGCTGTGATATGCAATTTACTGGAGAGATGAACTGCGCATGCAGAGATGATTAGTGTCACACAGCATTTTAAACAGATACAATACTTGAGCTCATCACAATAGCAATAGGAGGTGGCTACAAAATTATTACCTTAGTACAATATGCACTATAGTTAATTTTATGCAGTTATGATTTAATACTGCACCTTTATGTTTGTTCACATTTCTTTCACCTGTGAATGGGACCATGTATGGTCTGTGTTTGTGTAAGTTTTGATAAATTTTAACTTTTTATAATAGATTTGTATATATTTTATGGCAGTAAATGATAAAATAGACTAGTATCTACATATATTTTATGCATTCATGACATACCTAACTTTTTCTTAATGTTTAAAATATTTCTAGGCTACATGGTTTGTCTGTAAGTTTTATCAAATTGTCACAAATCTCCAAAAAATTTTTCAATATACTTATTGAAAAAAGTTCACATATAAGTGGACTCATACAGTTCAAACCCGTGTTGTTCAAGGGTCAACTATACTTGCCAAATCAAAGAAGTAAAGTAAAAATTCTATAATTTAATAGGAAAAACATCAGTATGAATTTGTGATTTTTCTCCTAAAAAATGCATATTTTTTAGCTCTGTCCACTGAAAAGTTGAAGCAATAATATCCCAGTAGTAATAATATGCCTAGTACCCATATTATGGATTTAAATATCTTTTCCCACTAGAAAGAAATAGGGCTGCCAGGAGAAATGGCTGGTTCCAGATGTGGGGCAAGAAATGAACAAGACAAACCTGGGACATCATCTTGTATCTGAAAGCAAGGAAGTTATCAGACTCTTGAGTCTTACAAAAGTATGTAAGAGCAGACTTAAAAGGGCTCCCAATTGCCCAAAAGGGGACAATTTGAGCATCAAAATTTAAAAAGGCAGCAATTGATATACAAAGACACATCAAAAATATAAAAATCTATAAGTGCATAATAATGCAAAAAAAAAAGCCCTTTATTGGTCAACTTTGGAGGTTGCCTAGAAACCAACTTAGAATTCTGGAAATAGTTCATAACAGCTTTATTCATAATATCCAAAAACTAGAAATAGCTCAAATGTCTATGAACAGGAGAATGGACAAACTGGTATATTCATACAATGGAATACTTAGCACTAAAAAGAAATGAACTATCACAGCAAAGTGGCTGAATCTCAGAAGCATTATGCTCAGTGAGAGAAGCCTTGTGTAAAAGAGTACATACTATATGGTTTCATATATATGAAGTTCTAATATAGGCAAAGCAAACCTATCGTGAAAGACTATCAGAGTAGTAGTTTGCACTGGGAGGGATGGCCACAGAGACTGAATGGGAAGGAGGTGGGGTAGGTTTCTGGGATGATGATAATATCTCCATAGGGATTCGAGTTACACAGATATATGCAATTCATCAGAACTCTAATGGTACTCTTTTGTGCATTTCACAGTATGTAAATGTTTACCTTAAACATAATTTTAAACAAATATTAAATTCTAATGATATGCATGCTGAAGTGTAGTAAAAAGACAGATTGATGGTTGGATAGAGAGATAACTGGATATATATTTGATAAAGCAAATGTAGCAAAATGTTAATTATAGAATTAGGTGGTGAATATATGGCTATTTACTATACAGCTCCTTCAGTTTTCTGTATGTGGGATAGTTTTCATAACAAAATGGTGAGGAAAACCTTCATTTTGGAACTTCTGTTACGGATCTAGGCATCAATGGCTGCTAACATCATTGAGTGAAAAGTCGATGGCACATCTTGTAGCGATGAGTCAGGCAGACAACATCCGAACCCACTGCTCAATTCTGTCATTGAAAGTAGGGCAAACAGACATTATGTTCTCCCTGATGCAATACAATAGATACACCACCTATGAAGTATTAGTGCATAAAACTAAAATTGAATCCGAATCTAATCAAGATTCTACATCTATGGCTGGGCGTGTTGGTTCACGCTGGTAATCCTAGCACTCTAGGAGGCCGAGGCGGGAGGATCGCTTGAGGTCAGGAGTTTGAGACCAGCCTGAGCAAGAGCAAGACCCTGTCTCTACTAAAAATAGAAAAATTAGCTGGGCCCAGCTACTTGGGAGGCTGAGGCAGAAGGATTCCTTGAGCCCAGGAGTTTGAGGTTGTTGTGAGCTAGGCTGACACCACAACACTCTAGCCTGGGCAATAGAGCAAGACTCTGTCTCAAAAAAAAAAAAAAAAAAGATTCTAGATCTACCTCCCCATTTACAGGAAATACAGGAGAGTAAAAAACATATTAAATGACACTATATGGGTACCGTTAGCCAATTACTGATTGTGGGGAATTCTGCAGGGAAAATTACCTAGTGTTTTAACAAATCAATGGCACGAACATTGAAAAAAGGGCACAAGGAGAGGGATCTGTTATAGAGTAAGAGAGACTTAAGAGATAACACTATCAAATGCAATGTGTGAACCTTGGATGCCACCTTGAACTAACTAACTGTAAAAAGACATTTTTGAAACAGTCAAGGAAAATTGAATGTAGACTGGGTATTTGATGTTATTAAAGAATTATTGCTCATTTTATTGGGTATGGTAATATTAAGTCCTCTATCAGAAATACTGAACTGTTAACAGTAAATGATATGATTTGTTTTAAAATACTTCAGCAAAAAAAATATAATAAATGATTGGGGATAGGTGAAGCAACAATGGCAGAATATTGATATTGCTAAAGCTGGATCATAGGTACATGGAGGTTCATTAATCTATTCTCTCCACTTGGGAATGTTAAAAAGTTAAAAAAAGAAACATCCTCAGCTTCACATTTTCTTCTAGCGACATCCCATTTTTCCATTTTTAGTACAGGAAAACATTGAAAAATATCTGTGTTTACTATGTCTATATCCTCTCTTCCCATTCTTTGGTGAAGCTGGTCCAGTGAGGTTTTTTGTATCTATCATGCCACCAAAACCACTCTTATCAAGCTTTTCAGTGACTTGCAAGTTGCCAAATCTAATGGTCAGTTCTCATTTTAAATGACCTTAGTAACACTGATCACTATTAATTATTCTTACTTGAAAAAGTTTCTTTCTTGGATTCAGGATATCAAACTCTGATTTTCTTCCTGCTTCACAGTCTAGACATTCTCTTTCCTTTGCTAGATTGTTCTCATCTTCCTGACCTCAAATATTGGTGTGTACCAGGGCTCAATCCTCTGACTCTTCTCTATCAGTAGTCATTCCCAAAGCGATTTCATTCATTACCTTGGCTATAAATACCATCTATATGCTATTGATTCCCAAATTTACACCTCTAATCCCAGCCTCCCCTTCACCCCATCTTGTAAGATCTTACATTCAGTATGTATGAAACCAAATTCTTGATCCCCCATACAAACTCCTCCCCTGGTATTCCCCGTATCAGTAAATGGCATCTTCATTTTCACTTAGAACAGAAACCTAATTGTCATACTTGTTTCTCTTTCACACCCACATCCAGCAGCAATTCTTGTCAGCTTTACCTTCAGACCATAAACAGAATTTGACCACTTCTCGTCCTCTCTGCTTCGGTTAATATCACTCTAGGCTAGTCCAAGCCACCATCTTCTCTTGCCTGGATAACTGCAGTAGCCTCCTAACTGATCTCCTTTCTTCCACTCTTGTGCTCCTACAATCTCTTCTCCATACAGCAGCCAGAGTGCTTCTTTCAAAACCTAAAACTGATTATAGTGCTCCCCTGCTCAAAACTCTCTAGTGGTTTCCCATCTCGCTCAGCATAAAACCCAGGGTTTTGACCATGGCTTCAAGGCCCCAGATCTTAGATCACATTTCCTGCCACTCTGCCCCCTACTCATTCCTTTCCAGACATGGTGGCTTCCTTCCGATTCTCTAAACATACCAACCCTCCTCGTGCCTCTGGACTTTTGTATTGACTATCCTTCCTGTCTGGAGCTTGCTTCCATGTGGCTTGCTCTTTCACTTCATTCTGGTCTCTATTCAGACATTACCCCATTAGAGAGGTCTTCTCAGACCCCTCTAATTAAAATAGCAGCTCTCTAGTCCCCAAACCTATAACATTTACCTCCTCACCAGCTTAATTTTTACCTCCTAGTACTTAACCACTACCTGGCTTTACATTCTATTACTTTGCATTTATAGGTTTCATTTATTTTCTCCCATCCAAGTACTAACCAGGTCCAACCCTGCTTAGCTTCCGAGATCAGACAAGATCAGACGCATTCAGGGTGGTGTGGCTGTAGACTCTTTGTTTACTTTCTATCTTAAGTTCAAACTTTATAACTTGTCTCACTTAAGGATTTATTGAGAATGACTGAATCTACACTGATGAGAATTACATAGATTTCATTATAACACTAAAACATAAATATAATCAACAAACTATAAAGGGTATACATTCTTTGGCATTCCAACTTAAGCTTCTACTTCTTCTTCCTAAGAAGGTGATAAAAAAAACACTTGCAGAGGCATGGCCAGGAGACCCCGTTTGGGTCTAGTTTGTATTTTCTTCTGTATCATGCCCATCCTTTTCTAGGCTCATTCATTTGCCATGTCCCACACTAGAATCATGCTAGGGGTATTGCTTTCTTATTCAGTGTGTTGTCATTGATCTCTCTTTGAACTAATTGAAAGTTCTTACTGAGAGCAGTCTTTATCAGTTGATTTCTGTAGAGGTGTACTTGCTCTCCCATACATTCTTCTTGCTACTTTGGTGTCATGTCATAGTTTGCTCACTGTTCATTTGTACACTTTCCTTCTCTCTTTCTCTTGCTTTCACAGACTCATACACACTTATATTTGAGAGCTCATCTCTCTTTGTGCTAGACTGTACTGTGAAGGCCTTTAAACTCTTTGGGCAGAAAGAATAACTTCCAAAATAGAATCCTGATGTTTTCATTGGGCAGAGTAAGGATCCCTCCCACTTCTGTGTATCAACATCAAACATTTCTCTGGGTGTACCAACTCAGTTTTATTGCACACTTTTTTTTCATACCCACTACCATGTTGGCTAAAACTTATCTAAAATTGTGTGATTTTATGAATGAGAAAGAATAGGAGAGAATAAAAAATACTTTTGTCTTCCAAGCCTAAAGAGGCTTGCCCTTTTCACTAGCCCATGTTTTGAGAGCAGGTCAGATATAGTGTTAGTCATATTGGGGAGCACAGTATTTGAGCAGAGACCAAAGGCTCCCACAATTAGATTCTTTCCTGACACCAGCCCCAACCAAGGTCCCAGAAAGAGACAGATGCAGAGGACAAGGTCCTACAAGGAAACCTTTATTGCTATCGCAAAGCACACGATACTTAGGGAGCCCTTCCCTGGTCAAACAGGCTCCTCCTAGGGGAGGGTGTCTTTGCCCTGGACAAGGGGCCAGCGAAGTGGGATCCTTTCCCCTTCTTCTTTCTCACCTCCCTCTCCCATAGAGAGGAAAGGCATGTCCAAAGAAAACACATGTCCAGGAAGAGCATTGAAGTCCCTGAGAGCAAGGTTCAACTAAAGTCATTAAATCGGACCCATCGATTTAGTACTCCTTTACTTAGTGGTGGAATGAATAAAGAAAAGAAAGAGGATAGGGGAGGGTGGAAAAACAAAGGGCCATCAGCATCCCCCAAGGGCCAAAATATAATGGCTGTATAAGTAAAGTCAGAGGTTTCAAGAAACATATTGGCAGGAAGTGTAAAACATATTTTTTTTTAAATCTAAACTATTACTCAAAGAAAGAGAATATGGCATAAAAAGACAGAAAACATATCTGTGTTTCTTGAATATCCATGCTTTCCGAGTAATTCTTACCAAATATTTCCTATAAAATATTGACCGGAATAGGTATATCTTTGGAGAAATCGGCCAGAAGTGGCAATAGGACAAATCAAGCATCTAAAGTAATCAAAAGTTTTTAGTGTGTTACTAAATTGTCATGTTATTTAGTTTTGTGTAAACTGAATTGTTCATCTTCAATTTATCTTTGGGCTTATTTTTTGTTTGTCTGTTTTTCTTTTCAGCCCCACTGTGTTCTCCTCGCCTCAAAAGAAAACTCAGCACCTGTTAAACTTGGGGGCTTTGGGGTAGCTATTCAATTAGGGGAGTCTGGACTTGTAGCTGGAGGTAAGACCACTTTTTTAAAAATTTCCTTCAAAACCTGGTCACTTACAGGCTGGTATAAAACTTTCAAGCCAAATATTAGCCCAACCTTAATGTTTCATACTCATTCCACCCCACTCCATCCCCAAAACACCGTGAGATAGTTTTGAATTTAATAACTCTGTAGTCATAACTAGAACTTTAGTCCCTTAAGGATAGACTTTGTCTTTTTTGTCTTTTTTTTTTTTTTTTTGGTGGAGATGAGGTCTCATTATGTTGCCCAGATTGGTCTCAAAGTGCTGGGATTACAGGCATGAACCACTGTACCCGTCCAGACTCTGTCTTCTTACTCTTTGTATCTCCAGCACTTAAGAGAAAAGGCCCTACATAAAGAGATTAAAATGATGTTCAGAGAAGATAATATTTGGGGCATCATGCCTTTAAAGTTTAACTGTTCAAATGAAGTCAAATCTAAAATGTGTGGATTAGTCATTTCCAGGTATACATTGATGGCTAATTTTTAATTTCATACTGTTTTCGTTTTTGCATTTTTCAAAGAATCTTGTTCAAGCCATCAATACATGTATTTGCAAAGAACAAGCAGATGTAAATGCAGGCTGCTTTTATTATTAGCCAAAGTAAAACATAATTTTTAAATTCCCATGCTAGAATAAAAAGAAGAAAAGTTAAATAGGAACTTTCTTCACCAGTGCCCAGAGGTGGATGCTAATTACAGATTCAAGTATTTGGTTTGTTTGTTTATTCCTTTCAATAGACTCCAGCTCAGAATGCTGCCCTGTTTTTAGTTCTATTCCTTAGTTTTGAAATTACTTAGTTCCCCATTCTACAAACTGTCTTCTGGTCAATGCTTTCTCTTTCCTATCTCCAAGTACTGCCAGCCTTCACAAAGAGGAACAATATGAAAAATATCAACAGAACCTTTTTAAACCTGTCATCTTTCAAGAATGTTTATGTTAAATTCAAATACCTGACAAATGATAAATATCAAAATAATAATCTGGACATTTCATTTAACTTAATTAATTGCAGCTAAAACACCAAGCAGTAATAAAATAGGCTACCTTCTGAAAAATGAGCCATAGGTCATAGTTGTATTCTTTAAATCATTTTTTTGCCACATTGCCCTCTAAAATTAAATTATGTTGAAATTTCCTTCTAGTTTCATATTCTTTTCCAGCTAATCATTTCCAATAATATGCAAAACTAGAAGTTGAGTATAGTTTCAAAGAATGCTGATTTTTTTTTCCCTTTCTGTTGGTGATTAGAAGACTGATCAAAGGGTCAGGTAGTAAAGCAGAGTTTAATTCATAGAATCATTGAATCTCAGGATTCCAAGGGGGTTTGAACTTCTCCAGTCTTATAACTAATGACTGAATTCTCCAGTAATATTCCCAACAAACAATTGAGCTCTAGTTTAATTCCTCAGATGGAAAAGTATTCACTATGTCCCAGAACAGTTCATTTCGTTTTTGGAAAAATCCTCAAGTATTAAAAAGTTCATCCTTGCATTGAACCAGAAATCTGTCTTTCTGTAACTTTCACCCAGCTGTCCTAATTCTGACTTTTGAAGACACTTTGAACGATTTTCATCCTTCCACATGATAATCATGTAAACGTTTAAAGACAGCTACCATGTCCCCCTAAGTCTTATCCAGGTTAACTTCCCTAGGTTAATTTAGCCATTCTTCATATCAACTAGTTCAGAGTCTCCTCACTATCCACAAAGTACAGGGCCAGAACTGAACATAACACTGCTGGCTCATCTTCATCTTGCAATCAGCTAAAAATCCTGAATTGTTTTGTGTTGTTTTTAAACAAATGTTGCTATTAAACTCACTCTAAAATCTGGTACATATTTATACAAATCACCCATGTGTTATGGGTACACAATTATATTAATAACAAATAATTTCTGATGATTACATCCCTAAGGTTAATGGAATGAAATGAAATGAATTCCTTTTGTGTGTTATGTACTGGCCGTATATAATGACTTTGTTTCCGTTGCTCTGGATCTGCATCCTGTTAGTATTCAGAATGTCATGGGCTTTATACTTTATGGTACATCTCGATTGAAGGGAGAAAATAGATCCATCAGATTTACTTGGACATTTTCTCTGTGTTAATCTATTTTCCTTTAAGTCCATGAACCTTTCCCCAAGTCATATATTTTTAAAGCTAATTTTGAATACCCAGTGTTTCAGTTATTCAAAATTTATTTTCTCCATGCTTCTAAAATTAAAATACTTCCTGATGGTCAAAGTATTGTCATATGTTAGTACCTTTTCTAAATATTCTTGAAGTGACTTTAAGCATTACAATGTTTTTAAAAATATAAGTAGATAAGAAATAAATGATTTCTCTTAGAAAAAGCTTTCCTATTGTTTAAGGTACTTTTGAAATTTTGCTAATATTTATCAACTTTAAAACAGAAAGCTACTTTCCTGTCAGTTGGAGTCTTTCAACCCTCACTCCTACAAATAGAAAGGAATTCTCTCCTATATATATTCCCTACAGTAAAAACCTTTAAATACATTTACACTTCCCCTGTCTGAAACTCGGCTATTTGGAAAATTCACTTATCCAGAATACAACTAGAAACCTAGAAAATAATTATAATAGCAGCAAAACTATTCCTACCCTCAAAAACCCATTCATGGTCCTCTCAGTTGGGCATCTAAAGATATTCTTTTTGAGGCTATATAGATTTGTGTTCCTTCATAGCTTGCACCTGCTATTCCCTCTCATTGGAATACTTTTTGTTTATCTGGTTAACTCGTACTGTTCTTGAAGGCTGAACTAACAATTGTCTCCTCTTAAAAGCAGGCTGATCTTCACCATCCTGAATTAGGTAGCCCTATTCCTTCTCTTCCATATTAACCTTAACTATCTGGGCTACATAGCTCTGGGTAGCATTGAATGCAGGGACTTGTAATCATATCAAAGACTAAGATTTGTAAGGGCAAGGGGCACCGTGGCTTATCTCTCTGTATGTCCACAGCACCTACGATGGTGTTTAGGACCTAGCAAGCACTTAGGAAATTGCTATCAAATGAAAGGATCTGCTTGCTAGTCAGCATCCAGTTAACAGCAGATTATAAGCAACAAATTAGGAGAAGCCAGGACTGAAGTAAGCGTAGTGAGAGGAAAGAAATGAAAACCTGACAGAGAAAAATATATTAAGCAGACACCAAAACTTGGAACATGCAGCAGCCTTTTAATACCAAAGAAATCAACCCGAATATACCGCTGAAGTTCCTGAGGGTGCTTTCTGTTCTATAACGTAGTTCTTTAATTGATATCCACAATGACAACTCTGAGTCATCCAGAAAAGGTTAACTTATGTGCAGCATTCTGTGTAAAAGAAGTCAGGAAATTGTAGAAAGATAGCCACACAAAATTATTAAAGTAAAAAGCGTTGTGTGCATAAAGATTCAAATCCTAAAGTATTGAAAATGTAGCTATTCAGAACAACACCCTCCCTGAGATTCTAGGTACGAAGATTTTATTATATTATCAAAATATATTTAAATATATGTCTGAAGTATCTGAAACAATGACATTTAATTTGGTTTGGTAACTGGTTTCCTGTTCTCAGAAATTTGTGGTCAAAGTCATAAAAGTAAAGTGCTCACAAAGAAGGAAAAAGATTAACAGCAAAAACAAGGAGTTTGAGGAAGTTGGTATGTATTAAAGATTAACTTCAGTCCTCTTCACAATCTACTGAGATACATGAAATAAAAAGAGCATTCCTCTATATTCTATAACATAGTTTTTTCTCCATCATCTATGAGCAAATTCTTGAACAAAAAGACATGCATCTTCCCCAAGAATGAACACTGATTCTCTAGAAATAGGTAGTCTTAAATCCAGATGAATGGAAAGAACCTCCTCAGGATGGCTGGGAATGGCCATGGTGGCTGCAATTATTCCCAGAGTGAGGCCCCAATTTTGCGTTACTTGACTCTTTCTTGTATGGGAAGTGGTAGGAGTCAAGTTGAGTTTCAAAACATCATCCGTACCATTAGCGAGTACCTGACTGGTGCCATGGAACCAGTGCCCTGGATGGTACCCTGAGTTCTTGCCCTGTTTTCCCCTCCTGTCCATCAGAACAAGGCTGTTAATGAAAGTAGGAGGCTTAGCTCCCATCACTTCAGCTTCTTTATATTACTTGAGGAAGCAAAATGGGACAATACAGAAATAAAGACATTTCTCTAGCCAGGTCCTTCTAACCAGTAGAGTTTTCACTGACCTATTATGTATTTTAAATGAAAATATTTTCACCACCAGAACCCTGAACTTAATCTCTTCTATTGTTGGGGGAGGAAGGGAAACCATAATGATCTGCAGCAAAGATACATCCCCGATACATAAGCTACAGCAACTCCTTTATCCTTCTCCATCCCAACTGAGTTTGATGAACTTAATGACACATTCTCTCTAGCTGGACCAGAAGATCTCTAAGGTCCTTTTAAAACTCTGAACTGGCCAGGCACAGTGGCTCATGCGTGTAATCCTAGCACTTTGGGAGGCTGAGGCAAGAGGATCACTTGAGGCCAGGAGTTCGAGACCAGCCTGAGCAATGTAGCAAGACCCCATCTCTACAAAATAAATACATACATAAATACGTACATAAATAAAATAAAACTCTGAACCACAGTTCTGAGCTCTAGATAAGGTATTACACAATCTTCAAAGTAAAAATTATCTTGTACTCAGTATGATGAAAGAGAGAGAGACAAGAGGGAGGAAGGAAGAGAGGGGACTGGGCCTGCATACATCTAGAAGAGCTGCCAAGTCTAGTGGGCAGTGCCCCATCCCACTGTAATTTCCCTATAGGGTACAAGCCTTTCATTCCACAATAAAAGGAAAGACTCCTTTTAAGATATTGAGTTAAAGATGGTTACTAATGTGCAAACAACTGGTATCAGATTCCTCCCAGAAAGCTAGTTTTAGATAGAGAAACAAAAGAAAAGATCAAAGCAGATTGAATGGGAGGAGCTTCATGATTTTGCTTTGGTTTGTGTCATATATTTGCTCTCCTTCAAACATTAATGTTAGGAGGAAACTAAAAATTCATATTATAAAAAAACATTACTAACCCTTGTTAATTGCTACAGTCCATAAAATCAACTGAACAGGATTTCAGATTCAAATACATATTCCAAACAATAGTTCTCAACATTAGGTTTCACTGGGGAAATTTCCATTTGTCAGTCAAAAGTAATCTTTTTTCCACGGATTTCTTTTTCACTCCTGCCCCCTCCTCTCCCTGCCTCTGCCCCTGCCCCTCCCAACTCTTTCCTGAGCAGCTACAGACTCTGCCTGATGACTCTTCCACCTGCCTCTGAACTATACTTTTAGTGACTTTCAAACGTGTAAAATTAGAAAATTTAAACTTATTCTTGAAGCGAGAACTATATAAATACCTACTGTGTAGCGTGCAGAATTCAACAGGAAATGTCAGGGTTGCAAGACAAAGTACCTATCCTGGGCTCAGTATTTTCAAAAGGTGATTAGATAAATAATCTTTTTTTCCTTCTGTGAACTTGATTTTATGGGGAAGGGGGAGGTGGTGAGAGAATATTTAATTTATATTGGCAAACTTTTTGTTCAGGTTGTTATTCTATTATTTTCAGCTTTCAAGTGGAAAACTCCATTTTATGTAAACGTTTTTCCTTAATGATGTTGTTGCTTTTAATGTAGGACGCGTTGGAACACCTCACTTTATGGCCCCAGAAGTGGTCAAAAGAGAACCTTATGGAAAGCCTGTAGATGTCTGGGGGTGCGGCGTGATCCTTTTTATCCTGCTCAGCGGTTGTTTGCCTTTTTACGGAACCAAGGAAAGATTGTTTGAAGGCATTATTAAAGGAAAATATAAGGTAATGCATTATGAACATCTTATTTTTCCACTAAGATTAAATTATCCTGATAAATGTTTTTTGAAGTTACTGTCTGTCTTTGCTCACTGATTGACTGCCGTGTAGTTACCCAATCCGTGAAAAGACCTTTGCTTCCGTCATTGATCCGGTAACCTTGTTAGGCAACATAGACCTCAAGTAAATTTCTGAGTTGTTATCAGCTGAACTATATCATCCAGGTGAAGAAAACTTTTATGGCCCTTCTTTGTGTAATTTGAGAATTGAGCTTCGTTTTTAAAGGTTTTTGCTCAGTTTATGAAGTTAAAATGGAAATTTCATCCAGGTAATCTAGTCATTCTTTATCTTAATTTTAAATTTTTGCCAGCATAGCTGAAAAATTCGCCATTTACATTCCTGGATAAACTGAAACGCCAGATCACAACTGCATTTCATAATACAATATAGAGGCATTCTGATGTGACTTAAACATTCATATTCTTCTTTGGCTACAGTATGTTGGAAACCTCATGTATTGTCACAGACTTGTGATTAGTAAATTACTACTTTCATTATTAAAAAATGAAAAAGTCATTACTGACATTGTGAATGGCTAAATCAAAAAGACCTAATGACGTCTTGGAAATAAATAAGCTTAAGGTTGATTTCACTATCCCAACTCTTCTTACACTTCTTTGCTCTGTACCACCACGTACAGCTGACAGGGACTAGGAGGCTGGGCATGGGAAGCATGGGGTGGGGGTCTGGATATCAAGTCAAGGCAGTTTATGTTGGGAAATTCTTTTTCCTCCCATTATTACTGAAACTTATACTTTCTATTCAACTGAATCACTGTTTCATTTTCTGCCATGCCTGCCAACATAAAACCAAACACAGGCTTATATGACACTAGACTCCAAAACTGTGAGGCTCCCTAAAGGTTTCTTTTCAATTCCTCAGTAATGTTAGAATTTTATATGGGACTTGGAAAAAAAAAAGAAAGGTAAAGTAGTTTCAGAGATGCAGCCTCATCCTTTAAGCCATAACTGAAGCTTGTAGAGATGAGAATGGTGTATACTTTTGTTTGTTTGTTTTTGCCTTGTGCACCATCAGTTTATAAGTGCACACAGGTTTGTCTTTTGTTTTATTTGGTTCAAGATGTATGCCAAAACACTGTTAATGGAGAAGGATGTTTTAAGTATAGATTTTTTTCTGCTTCTCTTAGAATCAATTGGCCTCTAGGGAATAAAATCAATATTTTCAAGGTAACTAAATGTCTCAGGAAACTGCTTGTAAGTAGTCATCCCCTTCAATCCTTGGAAATTGTGAGTGGCTGTCAGGAATGCACAGCCAAGGCTTTCTGGTTGAATTTTGCCAAGTGAAATCACAGATACTAACATATGAAAAGAAACATGATTAGTAATGCATCAGCATAATAATACTAGCAATAATCATAGCTAACTCAGACATAGCACTTATTCTGTGCCAGGAACTGTTCTAAGCACTTTACTTATATTAACTCACTTAATCTTCACAGCAACTTGTGACTTAGGTACCATATAATAAAATCTCCCACCTGCCTTTTTGAGTTATAAGCATTTGCTAATAATAGAATTTTTCCTTTGTGTTTGTTCAGTTGCTAACTTCCTGGTTTCCAAGGCAATGTGCTTCATTCCAACAGCCTCTGGTATTTGATTTTGTCTATTTTTAAAACATTGAATGGTTATTTTTGTTTCTTGGTAAGAAACTTGGAC